AAAAAAAAAAATATGTGAACACCTATCTAGCAAATTTCAATGTGTAAAAACTGAAAAATGGGGAAAGTACTATATTTGACCCTGTAAGTTTCCAAAACCACATAAACCCTGTACATGGGGGCTACTGTTTTACTCCTGAGACATCGATGAATACAAATAACAGTACTATGACATTCATAGTTTAAATGCCATGCAGAACTAAGAAAATATGAAAATTTCTTAATTTCTCAAACTTGTTTAGATTTTATTCTTATTAATACAACCTCAAAGCCTGACATTAAATATAAACCATATTCATGTAGCTTGTGTTAATTCAAAAAGTCAATACAAACTATTAGCCTATCTTATTTTATATTATATTTATTCCATATTTATGAAATTATCATGACCCTGAGATTTAAAGAAATATGAGTATTCGTTTTATCTTTCTATTTTTTACAATGTTGACAATTTGCCCATCACTATTTCTATTTAAAATCAGCAAGAGAGACCCCCAGAGTCAACAAATGTCTCTTTATATATGACAAACCTTGCAACCTGATTGATATGCAGTTGCAAAGATCAATATGTTGTTGCATTATTGTCTGACCTACAAGAAGTTTTGCAGCTTACTTTGCAATATATTAATGAGAATTGAACTGACATTATTGAAAACCTCTTAAATATTGAGAACCATCAATCTACTGTCAGTTAGTGTACATGATGAGTTTAGCAATTTAAAGCATAACCGTGTGATCTATAAGATACTATGTAATTATTAATGGATCATAACAAGCTACTCTTCATGTGTCACAGAGGGTTTTTTCACTATATGTTATGATGCTTTCCTTCCTTTATGAAGCACACACACACACACATTATATATATAAATATATACTATATATAAATAATTAGGTACAAAGGACTAAAGTCCATGATTGGTATTAAGGGCGTCAGATCAGAGGTACCAATTAGAGATTAATTATTTATTGATCTTTACTGAACTCTGAAGCAGCAAAGAAAACCTACATGGAAACAATGAACCAATCAAAAACAAGTATTGAAAGACTATATATGAGGTGAAGCAGCCTTAATCTCTTCCTCTATCTTTGCTGCTCTAAACTGGGAACAGGTCAGAGTTTTGTTCCTTTCTCTGTTAATTTATTATTACTGCTGGTTTTTGAACTTTTTCATTAGTACTATTTATGATCCTTACTTGTCGGCTTTCTTCCTCAATCTCCTATTCTGTACATGTGTTTTTGGGGGTGGTTATTCCTTCCTGAGGTCGATTTGGTAAACTTCCCTTTTTGTGCTGGGTTTTATTCCCCTTCCCTTATTCCCTGCTTTGCCATTAGTGTGATCTCTAGAATCGCTGGTCAGCATTTTATTCAATTTTTAGGATTTCTCCCCTGTTACTGGGAAGGTTATTGTGGCCTTCCCTGTCCCCCTTGAGGTCTACAGTGGTGTGAGGCTCTCTCCTCTGGCTTTGGCTTCTTGTTCCCATTGTTTGTTGCAACCAATGTGGCCATCTTGGATTTTGCATCTTGCCATATGGATTCAGATCACCATCCCTGCTGCGTCCGAGGTCTGTTTTTGATTCTACAATTAGTTGCAAAGCCTCTAGAAAGTTTATATTGCCTGCATAATATCTATTAATATGCTACAGTCTATATTGTATGACCTACATGTATTCCGCTGGTCACCAACAAATGATCCTCTATGTCACTAAACATGTTGAATACAAAATATATAAACAAACTTCATAAAGTGCATGTTCAGATGACCCCTCTCTTTACCCAGCATTGCATTATCCATAAGCATATTTAGAGCACCTGATGCCTACTTCTGCCCTGGGTTAGCCCCTGTATTACTGATTGAACAGTTGTACTATTCCCCTATTGAAGCCTCTTCTTGCAGTCTCTGTTTTATGTTTCCAACTTGAGTTGGTGGTTTATTTGTGCTTATTATTGGGTGAGCCCCTGTCAGGTCTTACTCGCAACCGATTCCTCTTTGTTACTTCCGGGTTTCCTTCATCCTCAGACTCTGCCCCTCGTAAATTATGCCTATCCTCTACACCTCAAAAGGGAACCACACCTTAGGCATTGCCTTGATGCTGGAGGTCTCTGCCTGAGAACTTTGATGTTGGTAATCAAGTCATTCCAATGGATATTAAGGGATTGCGAGTTTATCCTTTCTATTTGCGAGTTTATCTTTTGCATCATTTTATTAGGGTGCTAGTTTATTACTTAGTTGTGTATTCATGTGTCATGTTTCTTTGTCTTGTACTTCATTGCACAGTTTATTACATGCTCAGTTTATGTATTCTTTCAATTGCATTTGGAAATTCAGGGCTAGTTGCATATAGTATACAATTCTTGTTGTTTCAGTTTAATCCTTTTTGGAGGATAAACCTTACAGTTTGGGCTTGCTGCCTGTCATACTATGAGATGACATTTGCACATTTGTTATGTTGGACATTATGATCATGTGTTTCACATTCAGAAAGAGGAGTTGCTTAAAGGACCACTATAGGGCCAGGAAAACAAACTAGTTTTCCTGGAACTAAAGGGTATTTATGTACCCCCCACCCTCATGGCCCCATCCTGCCAGGTTGATTGGGGCTGAAGGGGTTAAACTCTTACTTTTCTCCAGCGCCGGCCTCCCTCTCTCAATGTCAGCTTTGAATGCATATGCGCGGGAAGAGCCGCGCGCTCATTCAAACAGTCCAATTCTCAATGCTTTCCTATGAATGTTAGCGTCTTCTCACTGTGATTTTCACAGTGAGAAGCGTAGAAGCGCCTCTAGCGGCTGTCAGTGAGACAGCCACTAAAGGCTGGATTAACCCTCATGGCCCCCATCCTGCCAGGTTGATTGGGGCTGAAGGGGTTAAAATCTTACTTTTCTCCAGCGCCGGCCTCCCTCTCTCAATGTCAGCTTTGAATGCATATGCGCGGGAAGAGCCGCGCGCTCATTCAAACAGTCCAATGCTCAATGCTTTCCTATGAATGTTAGCGTCTTCTCACTGTGATTTTCACAGTGAGAAGCGTAGAAGCGCCTCTAGCGGCTGTCAGTGAGACAGCCACTAAAGGCTGGATTAACCCTATTGTAAACATAGCAGTTTCTATGAAACTGCTATGTTTACAGCTGCAGGGTTAACACTAGATGGACCTGGCACCCAGACCACTTCATTGAGCTGAAGTGGTCTGGGTTAGTGATGTCGCGAACACGGAATTTTCGGTTCACGAACGCGAACTTCCGCAAATGTTCGCGAACCGGGCGAACCGCCATAGACTTCAATGGGCAGGCGAATTTTAAAACACACAGGGACTCTTTCTGGCCACAATAGTGATGAAAAAGTTGTTTCAAGGGGGCTAACACCTGGACTGTGGCATGCCGGATGGGGATCCATGGCAAAACTCCCATGGAAAATTACACAGTTGATGCAGAGTCTGGTTTTAATCCATAAAGGACAGAAATCACCTAACATTCCTAAATCACAATGAATATGGATTGACACCTGACATATGACATATTGACACCTTGACATATGGATTGACACCTGTCCTCAGAGCCCCTGATGCACACGGACACAGAGCAGAATAGGGACTGGTCCCCTTACATAGGGTCACTTGGCAGATATGGATTGACACCTATCCAAAGGATCCCTGATACACACTGACAAAGAGCAGAATAGAGACTGTTCCCCCTACATAGGGTCACTTGGCAGATATGGATTGACACCTGTCCTCAAAGCCCCTGATACACACTGACAAAGAGCAGAATAGAGACTGTTCCCCGTCCTCAAAGCCCCTGATACACACTGACAAAGAGCAGAATAGAGACTGTTCCCCCTACATAGGGTCACTTGGCAGATATGGATTGACACCTGTCCTCAAAGCCCCTGATACACACTGACACAGAGCAGAATAGAGACTGTTCCCCCTACATAGGGTCACTTGGCAGATATGGATTGACACCTGTCCTCAGAGCCCCTGATACACACCGACACAGAGCAGAATAGAGACTGTTTCTCCTACATAGGGTCACTTGGCAGATATGGATTGACACCTGTCCTCAGAGACCATGATACACACTGACACAGAGCAGAATGGAGACTGTTCCCCCTACATAGGGTCACTTGGCAGATATGGATTGACACCTGTCCCAAGGATCCCTGATACACACTGACACAGAGCAGAATAGGGACTGTTCCTCCTACATAGGGTCACTTGGCAGATATGGATTGACACCTGTCCTCGGAGACCATGATACACACTGACACAGAGCAAAATAGAGACTGTTCCCCCTACATAGGGTCACTTGGCAGATATGGATTGACACATGTCCTAAGGATCCCTGATACACACTGACACAGAGCAGAATAGGGACTGTTCCTCCTACATAGGGTCACTTGGCAGATATGGATTGACACTGTCCTCAAAGCCCCTGATACACACTGACACAGAGCAGAATAGGGACTGTTACCCCTACATAGGGTCACTTGGCAGATATGGCGTGGTCGTGGGAGGAGGAGGATGACTTTCACCTCTTCCCCTGTTAGATTCCCGTTGTGCTGTGACATCACCCTTATTCGCTGTGTAAAGCATACTTTTTAATTTATTTTGCAAATGCTTCATCCTTTCCGACTTGTAATTCAGTCACATTTCCGCCACTGTCTGCTTATACCGGGGGTCTAGTAGCGTGGACACCCAGCACAGGTCGTTCTCCTTCAGCCTTTTTATACGAGGGTCACTCAACAGGCACGACAGCATGAAAGACCCCATTTGCACAAGGTTGGATGCCGAGCTACTCATTTCCCATTCCTCCTCCTCACACAGAGCAGAATAGGGACTGTTCTCCCTACACTTGGCAGATATGGATTGACACCTGTCCTAAGGGTCCCTGATACACACTGACACAGAGCAGAATAGGGACTGTTCCTCCTACATAGGGTCACTTGGCAGATATGGATTGACACCTGTCCTCAGAGATCATGATACACACTGACACAGAGTAGAATAGAGACTGTTTCCCCTACATAGGGTCACTTGGCAGATATGGATTGACACCTGTCCTCAGAGACCATGATACACACTGACAGAGAGCAGAATAGAGACTGTTCCCCTTACATAGGGTCACTTGGCAGATATGGATTGACACCTGTCCTCAGAGCCCCTGATACACACTGACACAGAGCAGAATAGGGACTGTTCCCCCTACATAGGGCCACTTGGCAGATATGGATTGACACCTATCCTAAGGATCCCTGATAAACACTGACACAGAGCAGAATAGAGACTGTTCCCCCTACATAGGGTCACTTGGTAGATATGGATTGACACCTGTCCTCAGAGACCATGATACACACTGACACTGAGCAGAATAGAGACTGTTCCCCCTACATAGGTCACTTGGCAGATATGGATTGACACCTGTCCTAGGGATCCCTGATACACACTGACACAGAGCAGAATAGGGACTGTTCCTCCTACATAGGGTCACTTGGCAGATATGGATTGACACCTGTCCTCAGAGCCCCTAATACACACTGACACAGAGCAGAATAGGGACTGTTACCCCTACATAGGGTCACTTGGCAGATATGGTGTGGTCGTGGGAGGAGGAGGATGACTTTCACCTCTTCCCCTGTTAGATTCCCGTTGTGCTGTGACATCACCCTTATACGCTGTGTAAAGCATACTTTTTAATTTATTTTGCAAATGGTGCATCCTTTCCGACTTGTAATTCGGTCACATTTCCGCCACTGTCTGCTTATACCGGGGTCTAGTAGCGTGGACACCCAGCACAGGTCGTTCTCCTTCAGCCTTTTTATACGAGGGTTCCTCAACAGGCACGACAGCATGAAAGACCCCATTTGCACAAGGTTGGATGCCGAGCTACTCATTTCCAGTTCCTCCTCCTCACATAGGGACTGTTCCCCCTACACTTGGCAGATATGCATTGACACCTGTCCTAAGGGTCCCTGATACACACTGACACAGAGCAGAATAGGGACTGTTCCTCCTACATAGGGTCACTTGGCAGATATGGATTGATACCTGTCCTCAGAGATCATGATACACACTGACAGAGAGCAGAATAGAGACTGTTCCCCCTACATAGTGTCACTTGGCAGATATGGATTGACACCTGCCCTCAGAGACCATGATACACACTGACACAGAGCAGAATAGAGACTGTTCCCCCTACATAGGGTCACTTGGCAGATATGGATTGACACTGTCCACAAGGACAAGTTGCAGGCTTCCTGGCAGGGCCCATACAAGGTGGTAGAGCAGGTTTGTGATACCACCTTTGTGATCGGTGCGGTCACAGGCACGGGAGGCAAGCGCATGCTCCATGTGAACATGCTCAAGCCATACCACGAGCGCACGGAAGAGGTAACCGCGATCTGTGCACCTGCCACTGAAGATTATGATAATTTGCCACTCCCAGATCTCCTAGACCTAGAGGGCCAGAGCGGAGACCTGGGAGAAGTACAGTTAGGAGAACGGTTAGACCCCCAGGAGCGAACCCAGGTCCAAAGACTAATCCAGGACAAGGGGGCCACGTTTTCCAACCTACCTGGGTACAGTCCGCTAACCACTCACAAAGTTGAAACCCTAGACCAGACCCCCCTTCGCCAAACCGCCTATCGCATACCCGAAGCAGTTAAAGAAAATATTCAGAAAGAAATTGAGGAAATGATGCAGTTAGGGGTGATAGAACACTCTGACAGCCCCTGGGCCTCCCTGGTAGTACTAGTACCGAAACGGGACGGCACGACCCGTTTCTGTGTAGACTACCAGAGGCTAAATGATAAAACAACCTCAGACGCCTACCCTATGCCCCGGATAGACGAGCTCCTAGACAAAATGGCCAGAGGCCAGTACCTCACCACAATAGATCTGTGCAAGGGGTACTGGCAAATTCCATTAGCCGAGGACGCCATCCACAAGTCGGCATTTGTCACCTCGTTTGGCCTGTATCAGTTTAAGGCCATGCCATTCGGGATGAAGAATGCCCCGGCTAACTTTCAGAGGATGGTAGATCGGCTACTGGATGGGTTTCAGGAGTATGCCTGCGCCTACTTGGATGATATAGCCATTTTTAGCTGCTCCTGGCCCTAACACCTGACCCACATAGGAGCCGTACTAGACCGGATTAGGGAGGCCGGACTGACCCTAAAGCCCAGTAAGTGCCATATAGGAACGCGTAAAAACCTCCCCAAGATAGTAGTATGGGCCCCAGAGTGTGAACAGGCCTTCCAACAGCTCAAGACGGCGCTCATTAAATCACCTATACTTTCTGCTCCTGATCCAACTAAACGCTTTCTCGTCCATACAGACGCTTCTATGCTTGGATTGGGAGCAGTACTGAGCCAAGTCGGAGCAGATGGCGGCGAGCAACCCGGGGCTTATCTAAGCCGGAAACTTTTGCCCAGGGAAGTTGTAATGGAGCTCCCTGTACTCCGACCGAGTACCCTCCGTTGATGGATGCTCCTAGCGTTTCCTGAGGACTCCAAACACGTGTCAGGAACAAACTCTTAGAAGAGCTAAGTGATTCAAGCTCAGAGGAGTATGCAGAGCATAGCAATCCCCAGTGTGATATAGCAGTTCCCTCCAATAACAAGACAAGGCTACGTATTGAGGGTCAAGAAGATCTGTTTATTGGCACACAAAGAACCTTCTTTTATGCAGGTTTCCCTGAGATAGGACCACCCACAGGGTTTTACACAACAACCAATAATAAATGTACATTACAGAAACACTCCCAGCAATTACACACAAAAATCCTCCCCTCTGCCTGTGATCTAATTAAGTTACAAAATGGGTTAACATAATTAAACACAGGCAGTAAAAATACAGTTTTTACCCATCCCCTGTAACTTGAAAACCATAATCCAATCTTCATACAAATTACATATTTAGAATCAATCCATTCAGGGGAGCAACATATAAAAAAATGGCACAAATCAGACAAGGGGTTCAAAAGTTAGCAAAAGTATCTTTTGGGGCCTGGCTGGCAGCATGGTTATCTGGCCCAAACCGGTTTTACAGAGCCCTCTATCCAGGAGACAATGGGGAAAATAATCCACTTATATCCAGGGATAGAGGCAGACTCCATTAACCACATGTTAGCAAAAGACACAAAAAGACACATAAATACCTAACTCCTATCATACTGAACAGAACCCCCACATTCAACCTATCCCCAGATGGCTTGGATCTGAGTGCTCAATATATCCAAACAGCGCTCAGATCCCACAAATACAGTCAAATCGCCATACCCACTAGGTCCATAGTCATGGGGCAGAAGGCTGGCAATTAGGCTTCTCCATAACACAGGGAAGCAGGGCAATTTGTCAAATAAAAAAAAACAGTTACAAATGGCAGTCTGTAACAGAAGTAGATACACTGCCATTGAAAAGGAGTGCCTGGTGGTGGTGTGGGCCCTCAAAAAGCTGCAACCTTACTTGTATGGACAACCGTTTACCTTACTCACAGATCACAAAAAATTTGGGGCACTGCGCGTGCAATCTAATGTGCCACCAGATAGGAGTGGTGTGTTAAGTAGTACTATTCTTATCAGTTTAATCCCTGTTACGTCCCCTATCCGCTGATGTGGAGCAAGACGCAGCAGCAGAAGAGGACTCAGCCGAGGAGGTTATGGAAGAGGATGGAGTAGGAGGACTAGAGGAGGTGGCAGCAGGCCTGCCTGCAAGTCGTGGCGGTGTCACCAACTCCTCTGCAGAGCCACGCATTCCATGCTTGGCAGCCGCCAGCAGGTTTGCCCAATGCGCAGTGTAGGTGATATACCTGCCCTGACCATGCTTTGCAGACCAGGTATCAGTGGTCAGATGGACCCTTGCCCCAACACTGTGCCAGACATGCCATTATTTCCTTTTGCACAATCGAGTACAGGTTGGGGATTGCCTTTTGTGAAAATAAATTTCGTCCGGGTACCAGTGAGTGAGTGGTGGGTTAATTCGGGCACAGTAATATCCAGTGCGGATTCGACACACCCGCTGGCAGACAACTAACTGCTATTCAATCTATAACAGTGAAAAAGTTTTTGTTTTAAATGCAAGCTATTATGACACCAGATATGAGTGGCACTGTAAACTGGCAGAGTACACGCTGTAGGCCTGATACTTGCTTGAAGACAACTAACTGCTATTCAATCTATAACAGTGAAAAGTGTTTGTTTCAAAATGCAAGCTATTATGACACCAGATATGAGTGGCACTGTAAACTGGCAGAGTACACGCGCAGGCCTGATACACTTGCTTGAAGACAACTAACTGCTATTCAATCTATAACAGTGAAAAAAGTTTTTGTTTTAAATGCAAGCACAGAGACCAGATATGAGTGGCACTGTGAACTGGCAAATGGGCACAGTATCCACTGTGAGCCTGACCAAAAGTTTTGGTTTTAAATGCTAGCTATTGTGACACCAGTGAGTGAGTGGTGGCACTGGGCACAGTATCCACTGTGAGCCTGACACACCCGCTGGCAGACAACTAACTGCTATTCAATCTATAACAGTGAAAAAAGTTTTTTGGTTTTAAAATGCACGCTATTGTGACACCAGATAAGAGTGGCAAAGCACACTGGCAGAGGCCTGCGAGCACACGCTTTGAAGGCCTGACACCCGCTTAAGCGACACTGACTGCTATTAGCTTACACTGAAAAACTTTTTTTCTTTTGTAAAAGCACGCTTATAGAGACACCAGATATGCGGCAAAGTACACGGGCAGAGGTCTGCAGAGCACTAGCTGAAGGAGGCCTGACACCGCTTTAAGCGACACTGACTGCTATTAGCTTACACTGAAAAACTTTTTCTTTGTAAAGCACGCGAGACACCTTCAGATATGAGTGGCAAAGTACACGGGCAGAGGTCTGCAGAGCACTAGCTGAAGGAGGCCTGACACCCGCTTTAAGGACACTGACTGCTATTAGCTTACACTGAAAAACTTTTTTTCTTTGTAAAAGCACGCTATAGAGACACCAGATATGAGTGGCAAAGTACACGGGCAAAGGTCTGCAGAGAACACGCTGAAGGAGGCCTGACACCCGCTTTAAGGACACTGACTGCTATTAGCTTACACTGAAAAACTTTTTTTCTTTGTAAAAGCACGCTATAGAGACACCAGATATGAGTGGCAAAGTACACGGGCAGAGGTCTGCAGAGCACTAGCTGAAGGAGGCCTGACACCCGCTTTAAGGACACTGACTGCTATTAGCTTACACTGAAAAACTTTTTTTCTTTGTAAAAGCACGCTATAGAGACACCAGATATGAGTGGCAAAGTACACGGGCAGAGGTCTGC